TCACCAACCTTCATGTTCAATCGTGCCATGTGCCAACATCACATTTGCCAGTTTGACAAAACCAGTGAGCTTGTTCACCTAAGTAGGCTTCAGCATATTCAGCGATGTCTGGTTCATAGTCATCTTCATCTTCAACTGCAAGTGGAACAGGTTCCGATGTGTCAAGTCCAGGAACAGCAACATCATGCCATTCATCATGGTCACGTCTCACCTTCGATTGATTAACACGCATGACTGCGTTGTCAACATGAACATTGACCATAGCACCTTCTTGAGAGATAACAGTACCTCTGATCCATCTTTCCTTCTTCCATGCCCTTGAAGCAATAGCATTAGCATTGACAGGGGAACTCCAAACGAAAACCTTTTCACCTGGTTTGTAAGGTCCATCTGATGGCATTGTTCGTTTGGCCATGTCTTGTCTGAGGTCAGCAGCTTGTCTGGCTTCCTGATGTGCCCTCAGTGCTAACCTTTGCAACTCGAGTTGTGTTTTGTCTTCAGGTAAAGGATCAATACTAAGTTGAGCAGGATCAGAAGTCTCAATATCCAGAAGATCTGGTGGTCTTCTACCAGTGGCAATTTCCAAAGGAGAATAACCACCAACAGTGAGTTGAGTGTTTCTGGCCCAAACAGTACGCTTCACAGCTTCTCTGATGGTGATTCCTTTGAACCTATCATCTTCAAGGTTCTTGGACATGATTTGCCATTGTCGTTTGAAAAGTCTAACAGCTGATTCAGCTCTGTTAGGCCATGGGGTTCTTGAACCACAGGGACATTCCTTGATACCATGAGTTCGGTAATAAGTCAGAAAGTCTTCTTGAAAGAAAGCTTCATCACCTACAACAATGGCTTTAGGCATACAATTGTGTTCATCACTCCACAACCTTAGAGCCTGAATGGTCTCCTTGTTGTTCAGTGAGTTTTGTGCCGTAGCCCAAAGTAAGTTGGTTGCACCATCAAGAACAAGCAACACCGTGTACTTGTTCTTCCTCAACTGAATTTCAGCATGATCAACAAAGATAACATCTCCAAAATTGGTGGATCGTATGCCTGAAATTCTGGCTCGCGGCGGTGGTGCAATGGAAGTACTACACACACGACACTTGTTGTACATCTCCTCATACTTCTGATAGACAGAGTCAGGAAGTCCTAACATGGAAGTCCTTCGTCTGAATTGAGTAGGAGACATGTGATAGTGTTTGACGTGAAGCTTGTAAAGTTCCACACTATCCTCCAGTTTCCTGAGCATCTTTCTGTATGCTGGTGTCATGGCTTGCACTTCACTACCAGGCAGTGGAATCGAAACTCGCCTAGGCTCAAGAGCATCACTACCTAGTTTCTCAACTTGACTTTCTGAATCTTGCTTACCACGGTTGCGCGCAGGTGCAGAATGTTTTGGTTCAATGACTTGAGGTTCATCTGAATCAATTTTGTCCAAACCTAACTCCCTAGCTACCTTATCAAGCTCATCTTCTTCATCAAGCTTGGGATGAGACAACAACCTTCTTTCTTGATGAACCTGATTGAGAGTCATCGACAACCTGAGGTTTCTGCTTACCTACGTGTCTTTTGGCTGCAGGTGGACCTACCTCAATCTTTTTCGAGCCTGGTCCATTTGAAATCGGTTTGCCTTCCTCCTTCTTTAAGGAGCTTGGCTTCTTCTGTACACCTGATGGCACTGAAGAGGCTGACTCAGGGTGAAAAAGATCATCAATGTTTCCACGAAAGGGCTTTGCACGATCAATGTCACTTCTGACAATGTCATCTGGGATCACGTAGTCCTCCTTGATCTTGTAGATGGTCTTGCCCTTCCAGAACTCTTCACTCTGTTCAGAAAACCTCTTCTCAGTGCGCCAGTTGTCCTTGTGAAGAACCTTCTTCTTGCTCTTCTGGAATTCCATGTGGGTTTCTCTCTCATCAAGAAGTTGATCTTTTGGAATTGGAATTTTCTCTGATCGAGTCATCTCATGTAAGTTCATTCTCTTGTCCTTGTGGTGCCTGATGAGTTCACGACGTAGTGGATCAACCTGCCAGTAGTCACCAGTCCCCAAAGCTTCTCCTTCATGATCATCTTGTTTGACAGCAATCTGGCTGTACTCAAAGTGATCGTGTTGTGAATAGAAACTTTTGACTTGTGGAGTCTTGAAATGGACTTGGCTCATGTACCATGCTACATCTTGTAGGTCGAGAATGAGATGAGTACTAATGGCTGTCCTCAAAACCATTTTTCTCATGCCAATACGTGCACAGGACAAATAAGCCTTCTCTGGAGTAAGTTCAAATTGAAATCCAAGGGTTCTCATCTGTGGAAGTGACATCAACAATGGGACATCACCTTCTTCGACAATGTCGAATTCTGTAAACTGAGTGTTCCATCCATGATCATACATGAATATCACGAGCTTCTCAGTACATTTTGATTGTTGTGAATTTGCAAAGAAGAATCTTGAACTTGTTGGCTGAATTTCATACCAGAGTCCACTGTTGGGATGTGAGTCAACATATCTGCAAAATGCTTCAACTGCTCGTCGAGAGCCCATAGCTCTTGTGCATCCAAGATCCAGAATACACACAGTTGGTGGTGCGGAATTCTCTGTGTGAAAAGCTAGTCCATTCTCACATGCCAGATCAGTTTGTACAGTATGAAATGAAAAAGCACTCTGCTGTGATGGTTCCTCTATCTCTGTAGAGCATCCATGTGAAAACAATGATGTGCCTTCTGCCAATGGCTTCCATGAAGCCTCACCTTCTTGAAGACCAACTTGCCTGGGCACTACAGCTGGACGTTGTTGTACACCGTGTCGTAGTGCACCAACTTCTCCAACCAGAACAGGGAATCTCTTCATTTCTCTCCTGTTTTGATGTGCTCTTGCATCACGTTGGTTCTGTCCTCCACGACGAGTACGTCGTTGTTCATCTTGTGTTGCATACGTGGATGTCAAAACATCAACACGTGCTGGCTCTGTCTCTGCAACATCAACACGTACTGGTTCAGTTGTTCCAAATGAAAAGAAACCATGACCAGAACTTGAAGCTGCAGAAGAATAATGAGCTTGTTGAGTTGGTTGATTCTGTATGGCAGGAGCTGATGTGGTCTGAGGTTGAACATAGTTCGACTTGCCTTTTCCATCTCCTGGCTTTCCTCCTTTGCCATCATCATCCTTGCCTTTCTTGCCTTTCTTTCCTTTTCCTTTTCCTTTTCCTTTCTTCTGAAAGTATCCATACTCATCCATGTAGTACAGATCATCATAGGCCCAATAGCCTTCATTCCAGGTTTGATCATCGGCCCAATAGCCGTCATAGTTTTCATTCCATTCTTCTTCTTGCCATTCATCTTCATAACCTTCTTCACTCACCATGTGAGCACGGCCTTTTCTTCTTCCTTTACCTCGGCCTTTTCCTTTTCTTGATCTGAAGAACCTTCGTCCTCCTCTGCCTTTTCCTTTTCCTTTTCTCTTTCCTTTACCTTTGCCTCGTCTGATGTATTTGCCTTGGAACCTTCTCTGATACCATGTGAAGTTGGCGTCATCATAAACCCAGAAAACATCTTCTAAAGCATCCAGGAATCCTTCTGCGCCGTCTTCTTCATCTTCGGCCCAATAGCCGTCGGTTCCTTCTAATTCACCTTCATCCAGTACGAGGAAAGATCTTCTCTGTGCCATGCCAGAGGGTTGCATCAATGGATTGTCAACTGCTGTTTTGGTAGCGCAAAACATTTCCAAGAACAGGTCACGTAGTTCTTGAATGTTGTATCGATCGAGGGTTCGTCCACGATGTGTCATGATACTTGTGAGTGTGTTTCTCTGATCTTGACTCAGGTCAGCTAGACTTACAAAAATCAATGCTAGCAAATTTTCACCCAGTGGGAATGCTTGTCGCTGTGCTTCTCTACGATTTTCCTGAAATAGTCTGAATGCCGCTAGTGCCAGTTCATCGTCCAAGGAACAGCTACATGGGGTGTTCCTGAGGCTGCTGCTACTTCAGCTCTCTCTTCTTGATCTCGTTCATGTTCTTGACGTCGTTGTTGAACAAACAGAATTGCTTCAGGACTAGTCACTGTTACTTCTGGAAGTAAATCCATCCAAGACTCAATAAGTCTATTGCCAGTGAGTTGAAATCTAGTCATCCACTTCTGAAGATCCATGGTTCCTCTGTTGAACTTCATGAACTGCATGAAACGGTATAAGAACACGTTTTGGGCACCTTTGATGAAATGAGGTCGTAGAAATCTTTTGAAATAAGTTACTCCTTCATAGGGATCCCTGAGTAATTCTCTATCCAATAGCCTCTTGTATTGTTGAGCATCTCCTTCCAGTCTGTTGCGCAATGCTGGACCACGTTTCTCTGGTTCTAACTCCGTAATGTCACACCAGTCATCAATTGCATCTTCAAAGGCAAAGAAGCTGGTTCGCCCATCATAGGCTGGAGCAACCTTTGTGGTCATCTGTTGCGTCATATGAATCTGTGTTTGCTGGGGTGCTCTTCTCATTGCATAAGAGTCATATTGGTTCCATTCATTTGCATCGACAATGTCGAAGTCATCATCATCATAGCCATGGCTTGCCATTGCTTGGGCTCTACCTGGAGCTCACCCTCAATGAGGGATCACAGCTCCGCTACCACTTGAAGAGGGGCCCTAGCGTCTACTTCAAGATCAGCTAAGGCGTCTTCCCCAATGACAGCACTTGTTTTACTCAGCCTGTTGCCGGTCTGTGCTTGTCTACAGGGTTACTCTATATACCTCTTGAGCCTTGAGGGGCGCATATAAATGTGCTCAATACTCATGCATGTACCTATGTAGGTATTAGGTCGAAACAAAAACAGGGCCCCCCCCCCCCTTGAAAGGCGGACCGAGACATAACCGGCCCAAACTCTTGCACTTGCACCGCTCGCCCCCTAATACTTGCTACGCAAGGGGGAACTCAGGTAGCTCACCGCTACCTTTCGAGACATGAGCCAGGTTTCTTCCATTAGCAGAGCGAGTTTCTTAAGATGGCCACGTTCGGGAGAAGACTCGCCCACTTGGGACTTCGCCAAAGTTCATTGACCTGCAGGGCAGTGTCCCTCTCAAGCTCATCCCCACCAATTTGTTTAATGTGTTTTTCAGAGTTTTCCACCGAAAGCCTGCCTCGCGGACATCACTACACCAATCGGTTGGCAAAATGCTTTGCATGTGACAACCTCGCAACAAAGCCGTTCTGCTTGTCATATTACCCCCAGCTTCAAGTGAAGTTCCATAGATTCTGAGATGTTCTGAGCCACATGCCAGTGGTGTACCACCAGGTGTGCTTATCTGGAAGCGTTGACATGCATGCTCTTTGACGGTGTGAGACCTCGGTTCCCCAAGCTGTGACGAGTTTGGAGCGAACTTGGGACACATACTGAGCTCCATGACTGGAAGTAGAAGGTCATTGTAAAGCTGCAGTTTGGCTCCACCTCAGCTTGGACTTTGGCTCACAACAAAACTGCACGTCTGAAAAATCTGAGACCTCAGAGGCACCCACCACTCCAGATTCTGGGCTGACCCAGAAGGCTGCTGGAGGCAAAGGTGCCGTCTGGCAACATGCATGGACATCAGCAGCATACAACCCAACCCGTTCCAGGTTTTTGGCGTCTGTCTCAAACGAGGTGATGGGCCCAAACGAATCCAATTTAAGTCGGGAAAATGATAAACAATAAAGATCGTCTTCCAAATCTTGAGGCAACCCCAATTTTTTCCACTGATTTGGGGCCCAGTGGCGCTGCACTCCAAGCAGCTTCCAGCCTCTGAGCTGTCGTGCACGGCACGCACTCGGAAGACAGCTCGGACCTGGGCGGTGCAGTTTCTGCTTTGCCTCGTGGATTGATGGGTCGAAATTGGAAGAAAATTCACCAAAAATATGGGATAAAGCCAACAAAAACATATGGAACTCTTGATTTTTAGTCATATTAAATCAATCAAATAATTATATAGAGCAAGCCTCAAACTGGGACGGAATCTGACACCTGAAAATTGCGGCCCGTACTAACCCAAAGGTCTGATGTGGCCATGGGTCAAGTTACGGGGGTACCCAAAAATGGACGGCCCGTACTAAAGGAGATTACAGTATCTCATATTATATTATATATTATATCATATTGTATTATATTATATTATATTATACTATATTATATTACATTAAATTATATATATATTATATTATATCTCATATATGCTATATATATATATACAATCACTCTTCATCTACAGGGTTTTGACACCATAGACCATAGATTTTGCTCTTAAATCCCCTTTCTTTCACCAACATCCCCATCTCCCCTGGCTATTTTTTCCCCAAGTCCCTCCGTGAAATCCCCCAAAAACAGACGACAAAGGCCCTTACCGGAGTGGTGTTGAGCAGCTCCAAGGTCTGCGGCACACGCTTGCCAGGGGAGACGGCTCCAAACCTCAGCCGGAGAGCAAGAAAATGTCTAAAACTCATTCATGGATCAAGAATGGATCAAGAATGGATGAAAAATGCAGATCTGGGTCAAATTCCAATGTTTATCCAAGAATATCCAAGATCTTTAAAATGACGATCCAGAAAAAGTGTTACTGCCTTCCCTTGACGCGCACACTGCTGTCAGGTCTTCAAGGCTGGGGCTCTACAAGTGGCATTTGACCACCAGGGACGCATAAATGAGGCCTCAGCAAAACTGTGGCACTGGCTTTCCAAGTCATCAGAAATAAGTTGCGCAGCAGAAACTCATCATCAACCATCAAGAAATCATGGTTTTTGCATGCTTTTCCAATCAAAAATAGGGCTTTCCTGCAACTGTAATGTTTAAAATTCCACCATGATTCCTTAATTTGAGCCTCATCATATGGTTTAGCACCAGCTTGTTGGAGCTGAAACCCGAAAATGCACTGAGAGTGCGACATCTTGCCAACACCAGTGCACTGCAATGCATATGGCTTCACCTACAACAATGCAACTGAGATTCACAACAACAGAAATCAAGTTGATGCGGAACTGATCGAAGAAATATTGTTGTTTGAAGCCGCCTCCGGAGCCCTTGCACTGCTGTCGTCGCCATCGTCATCAACAATGGCGTTTGCAGCTGCACTGGCTACCTGATAGGCAACAGTATGATACATGGAATTTATATATCTTGTATGTTGCTGACAGCATAGTTTTCATTCCCCCTGGAAGGTAAGCTCTCAGGATGTGCCCACACTCTGCTACAAATGATGTGATGATGTGCAATGTAAAGTCAAACAAGCCCTTCAGGACTGCCCCGAGCCTCGCATGCAATGAGGCCATCAAAAACGGAAGCAGTCTTTGGCTCGAATTCGACAACACATCGCACCTTGGTGAGACGCTTCAACATGACAAGACCGCAACCAAGGCGTCTTCATCGTTTTCGAAGTCCTTTCATATCAGTTTGCACTGGCCCAAGCTCACAGTAGGTCACTCGGTGGAAAACAGCAGGTATGAACTGAGATCGGGTCTGATTGGCCCACTTCAACTGTTTGGGCCGGACATCGAACTGTAAATGGAGGCCTTGTTTTCGGCGAACAAAGAAGACAACATCAAGCAGCATCTGGCAGGCAGCATCTGGCAGCCCACCTGGCATGCCACTTCATGGATGCCTTCAATGTGCCAGTGTTGTAGACATCGATCTGCTGCTGTGAACCTCAATGGATAAAACCAAATAGAACCAGCCGCCGCGACATCTTTGGCACTTTCGTGACACGAAAAGGGGCCCTTGGGATCCGTTGGATCTAACTGGGTCAACTGGGCACCTGACGCTCCATGGTGGGACAAAGTCCAAAATCCAAAAAATGTGGGAGGGACAGAGCCACGTCCTTCACCACTGCCTGGGTCCCCATGGAGGATGGGCCTATGATATGGCCATGCCATAGAATTTCCGGGCTCCCGCTGCACCTTGACGATAACAAAGAAGCTGCCTCCCTTGGTGACTATCTGCACTCTATCCACGTGCCTGGCAACCGGAACAGTCGCAGCGATTTGGTCCTCGCTGACGAAATCAGACAGGAGCACGGAACGTACTTGGAAGGCCGAAAGCTGATTGGAATGACCTTTTTCATTCCAGGCCTCAGAACATGGAACCAGATGGAATGGAATGAACCAAACGATGAAGGAGATCTTCGCCAGCCAAACCAGCTATGCTTTCTTGGAGAAGGCATGATTCCCAAGATATCGCAAGATCAGAAATATGATCTTGCATCATCTTCAAGTCCAGCTGGAAAGCCCTTCACAATTTGGACATCCTAACATATCCTTCGCTATCCTGGGGTCCTTGCGCAAGCTTGAAGGGCTCTGGGTAGGGCATATCAAACTCTTTGGTCGGCGGCAGCTTGAACTTCACCTGCGGAGTCAACTTTGACGATCTTTGACGACCGAACCTCTCCGATCCGAAAAAATCATCCCAAGCTTCCTGTCGAATCCACCCATTGATCATTTAATTCAAGGTAATCCTTCAAGGTTTCCAGACCAGAACTGCAACCTTTTTTAGATCCAAAGATAGATCCTATCAGATCCTACAACTGATGGGCCCCCAACCCACCTTCTGCGTCACCAGAGCCACATTCTGCAGAACGAGGTCCTGGACACTTTCCACGCCAG